CCACCAGATCAATATTTTATTTTAAGAAGTGTGGCTTCAAGATGTCATAGTTGATAAGTCCTGTAACAGAAATCCTAGAAGCGTATTCTTTCTTTTCTAAATTTTATCTAGATTAAACAATATTAATAATGTATAGCATTTTGATGTTAATATTTTTCTCGGTAAAGAAAAATATAATAATTTTCTTTAACGAGACTAAACATGATATCAGTTTCTTGTAGAGACGTTCTATGCTGCTGAGAAATTTCTTGCAGAGACGTTCTAGGCTGCTGAGAAATTTCTTGCAGAGACGTTCTAGGCTGCTGAGAAATTTCTTGCAGAGACGTTCTAGGCTGCTGAGAAATTTCTTGCAGAGACGTTCTAGGCTGCTGAGAAATTTCTTGCAGAGACGTTCTAGCTGCTGAGAAATTTCTTGCAGAGACGTTCTAGGCTGCTGAGAAATTTCTTGCAGAGACGTTCTAGGTTTCTGAGAAATTTCTTGCAGAGACGTTCTAGGTTTCTGAGAAATTTCTTGCAGAGACGTTCTAGGTTTCTGAGAAATTTCTTGCAGAGACGTTCTAGGCTGCTGAGAAATTTCTTGCAGAGGCATTCTAGGCTGCTGAGAAATTTCTTGCAAAGGCATTCTAGGCTGCTGAGAAATTAGGTGATGCAGATTTTGTAAATTGGAATTATGAATGTATTATCGAGGCAACGATGTATTCTGACATAGAACTTGTTACTAATGAAAGTAGATGTCAGGTTGGCTTAGTTTTTCTGGAAAAACTTTACCGTTTCTAATTAAAGTGCTTATGAATGAAAGTGAAAATTTAATTTTAAAGGTAACGATAGACACTTTTAAGATCCTGGTAGATAATGTGTACTTTAGGAGCATCATCTGGCATTCACTACCACCAACAATTCTATTGATGATCTGAAGATTTTAGAACGCCTTTCATTTATTTCCTGGGTTATTTAATGATGTAGATGTTACTGGTCGGTCCAGGTGTATTTTGAATACTCTCCTGGAGTTTACCTGGAGAGGGTTTCGGGGGTCAACGCCCCTGCGGCTCGGTCTGAGACCAGGTTTCATGGTTGATAAGGGTCTGATTAACCAGGCTGTTACTGCTAGGAGCACGCAAACTGACGTACTAACCACAGCCCGGTTGGTCAGGTACTGACTTTAGTTGCCTGTCCAGTGCCTTCTTGAAGACAGCCAGGAGTCTATTGGCAATCCCCCTTATGTATCCTGAGTGAACAATGATACTTTCAATCTTCTCATCAATCACAGATTTATTTTATTAATAGTAATAATATTCCATATGTTTCGTGTTACTCTTATTAAAAAGAAAGAAAAAAAAAAAAAAAAAAAAAAAAAAAAAAAAAAAAAAAAAAAAAAAAAAAAAAAAAAAAAAAAAAATATATGAAACGCAAAATAAATTTACAATGACTCCAGGAAGGAATATAAATAAAAAAAAATATATAAATTTAAATAAAAATGTATTAAATAGTTGAAGAGTGGTAAAGTAACTTTAATTTTTATAAGATGATTGAGAGCAGAAAAAATTTAAGCCGCTGCGGGTTTGTTTAGAGAAAAAAGATAACAATGAGAGATTTGTTTCTTATGAAAAATTTTTTATGTATAGACATATGCAGTAATTTTGGAAAGATCTAAAACAGCAAAAGAATAATACAAAATTAATAAATACTGTGGATGGTCAGACCATGAGAGAGGATATCTTATCAACTTTCAGTGATTAATTTTTTGTAGCGAAAATGACAATGGAGTTGTATAATTCAACTTTTTATTTAAACTTTGATAATGATATCACCAAAAAAAAAATTGTTTACTAATATCACCAGAGAGATTACAGCATGATATTGATATACTTAACAAAGGAGTTTATCATAACGGAACTCATTAGAAGTTGTTGAGACATGAGCCCATTGACATGTTCCAGTTCATTACATATTTAATGAATACTTGTCACAGTCAATGTTATTTAACTAATGATTTACTTAAAGAAGAGATATATCCCCTTATCAAACGTAACCATACCGAGTAATCTTATCATTTCAATTATAACAAAAAAAAGGCACAATATCGTGACTGGAACGATACACAAATAACCCGCACATAAAAGAGAGAAGCTTACGACGACGTTTCGGTCCGACTTGGACCATTTACAAAGTCACACTAACCAGAAGTGGAGCAGGACGGCTATATATAGGCAGGAAGAGGTGGTGGTAGTAGTAGTTGTACAAGAATGGTATATAAGACCGACAAGATGAAATTAAGACACATGCGCAACACTCGGGCACCCTTATCGTGAAACATTTCATTTGTTTGATATGGTACAAGGAATAATGAACCTTGATTTTGTAGTTTTAGTCCAGGAAGAGATTAGGTTTTAATGACTCAATTTAGGGTGTAAACAACTGTTAGGTGTAACACGTAGAAGTGAGAAATAGATTTCATGTGTTTATCCAAGGTGTAAACATGGCAGATCATTTTATTCCGTAGGATATGTAAATACTATTACTACTGCTTTTAATACTACTAACTTTTACTACTTCTACGATTATTATTTCTATTACTACTACGACTACTATTATTACTAGTAGCAGTAGTCTTAATGCTGTAACTACTAGTAGTAGTAGTCTTAATGCTGTAACTACTAGTAGTAGTCTTAATGCTGTAACTACTAGTAGCAGTAGTCTTAATGCTGGTAACTACTAGTAGTAGTAGTCTTAATGCTGTAACTACTAGTAGTAGTATAGTCTAATGCTGTAACTACTAGTAGTAGTAGTCTTAATGCTGTAACTACTAGTAGTAGTAGTCTTAATGCTGTAACTACTAGTAGTAGTAGTCTTAATGCTGTAACTACTAGTAGTAGTAGTCTTAATGCTGTAACTACTAGTAGTAGTAGTCTTAATGCTGTAACTACTAGTAGTAGCAGTCTTAATGCTGTAACTGATGTCAATGTTACTACTACAACTGCTACGTCTTCCAGGTATTTAAAGATATCAAACTACTTTATGTTAACTATATTTTCACTGAGAGTAACTTTACCTACCAAGGTTCATGTTAACCTGCTGAACACTGAGAATAACTTCACCTACCAAGGTTCATGTTAACCTGCTGAACACTGAGAGTAACTTCACCTACCAAGGTTCATGTTAACCTGCTGAACACTGAGAGTAACTTCACCTACCAAGGATCATGTTAACCTGTTGAACACTGAGAGTAACTTCACCTACCAAGGATCATGTTAACCTGCTGAACACTGAGAGTAACTTCACCTACCAAGGTTCATGTTAACCTGCTGAACACTGAGAGTAACTTCACCTACCAAGGATCATGTTAACCTGCTGAACACAGAGTAACCTTATCTATCTTAAACAAGTGCACAAAGAACAACCTCACCTAGATTGTGTCAACCAAGTGTACACTGGGAACAACCTCACCTGGATTGTATCAACCAAGTGTACACTGGGAACAACCTCACCTGGATTGTATCAACCAAGTGTACACTGGGAACAACCTCACCTACCATGGTTAATATTAACCAAGCTATCACTGAGGTCAACTTCACCTTCCATGGTTTGATAATTAGGTATACCATGATTTATGTTACTCATATAAGTATATACTGAGAGCACCTTCACCTACCATGGTTTATATTGGACAAATTATTTATCTGCTCCCTGTAGGTCGACGCTGGCTGACTAATTGAACGTCTCTGTTGTGCCGTTGGAGTCGCAGAGGACCTCTGTTGAGATCCTGGAGATGTAGAGGACTTCTGTTGTACTGCTGACATAGTGGAGGATTTCTGTTGTACTGCTGAAGAGGTGGAGCGTCTCTGTTGTACTGTTGGCAGGGTGGAAGATCTCATGTGTACAGTTGGGGAGGTGGAAGGGGTTTTACAACTGTTATTACTGTTACTTATATTAATACCACTACTGTTACCGTGAGTGCTGTAATTAATATCGTTCTTGCTGTTAGTTTTATTGTCTGTTGTACTCTTACTGTTACTGCTGTTGTCTCTTGTACTGTTGCTTTCACTATTATCACTTTTACCGTTGCTGCTGCTACCCCTATAGCGAAGAGCTAAATTGTTAGACAACACAACTGTCTTTTCAAGAGCAGCTTTTGGGTTTACGTTCAGGCAAATGTTTTGAGCGGTTGTATCGTGAAGAGTGTGTCCGGAGGTGTTGCAAGTGACACCTGTGTTGTGGCAGGCTGTGGGGACGTGATTGCTCACCAGGAAGGAAGGTGATGAGTTGCAGGTTGGTGTGATGTTATAACTACAGAGGAGTGAGGAAGGGCTCGGGCTGTGACTTCTAGCTAGGTGGTCAGTAATGCTGGCTGGACTTAAGCAGAGGCTGGTATGTGAAGAAGAGGTCGTGTTTTGAGAGGTTTTGGGGCTGTAACCACTACAACTGTTGTCGCTATACGGACTTAGGGTGGAATCGTGATTTGTGAGGCAGTTTTTGCTGGCAGAGCTGGTGTTCGTGTCGTTGAGCATTTGACATCCGCAGGGAGATATATTACTACAGGTGTTTGTGGTAGAACACAAGCTGCACACTGCTTGAGTTCTCTGTGTAGTAATAGAGGGAGAGCTGCTCCTCACCATGGAGTCGTGAGTTGATGAACATTGGACTGGACTCGGGAGAGGATTAGCAGAAGATGGAAAGTGGAAAAAAGGAAAATGGGTGGTACAGTTGTTATTGAAGAAGATGTTGGCATTAAGATAAGTGCTGTTGCAAATAGGATTATTGACATCACAAGTGACACTACCGTTTGGGCTATGTATATCAGTTGAGGAACCACCGCCGTGACTGTGCACATCACAAAATGAACCACCACTTACATTATGGTGATCACTAACAGCACCTCCACTGGGACTGTGGACATTGCTGTTGGCGCCACCACTTGCGTTAACAGTATCAGAGGAGGTGTAGCTACTGGGATCGTTATAACTACCAATAATGTTTACATTACTATCAACTGCTAGACTACATATAGAGACAGAAGGACTCAACACAATGGTGGGGTAATGAGGACTGGGAACAGAAAGTGTTGGTTCATGAAGGGTAATGGGTGAGAGTTGAAGGGTGTTGGGTGAAGGTTGGGGGAAAGTTGTGAAAGCATAGGGACAAGGGGTGAGGGCTGAGAGGTAAGGGGTGAAAGCTGAGGAGTGTGGGGTAAGGGAGTTTCCCTTCCTGAAGTAGAGAGTAGAGGTTCTGAAGGGCAAGGGATTCCCCGGGATCCTGGTTGTTGTTCACCCACCAGCCACCAAGTCATCATTTCACCTTTGCCCTGTGACGTCAAAAGAGAGATGTGGTATTAGTAGCGGCAAGTAGTTATCTAGTTGAATTATTGTGTAGCTGACACTGACAAACACGACACAGACAACACAAACAGAATACCAAAAATAGCGACATACATATATGTACATATGTACATATATATATATATATATATATATATATATATATATATATATATATATATATATATAATATATATATATATATATATATATATATATATATATATATGACGTGCCGAATATGTAAAACTGGTCAATTAGCAAGAACTCATTTAAAATTAAGTCATTTCTAAAATTTTCTCTTATATGTTTAAAGATATATTTTTTTCATTAATGTTAATGTAAAAAATTATAATTTTGCACCAAAAGGAACTTAGAAAACTTACCTAACCTTATTATAACAAGAGAAATTTTTATTTAAGCCTAACCCAACTAAATATATTTTATATTTGTTTACAATAATTTAATACTAAACAAACACAATGAAATATATTTTTTTCGTTAGGTTCAGAATAAATTTGACGAAATTATTGCATACACAAATTTTCACTTGACCTATATGGCAAGATGAGCGTTGCTATTTAAGCCAAAATCGCAAGTTCTGCCTATTCGGCACGACATATACATATATATATATATATATATATATATATAATATATATATATATATATATATATATATATAATATATATATATATATATATATATTCTTTCAATACATCGGCCGTATCCCACCGAGGTGGGGTAGCCCAAAAGGAAAAACTAAAGTTTCTCCTTTTACATTTAGTAATATATACAGGAGAAGAGGTTACTAGCCTTTTGCTCCCGGCATTTTAGTCGCCTCTTACAACACGCATGGCTTACGGAGGAGGAATTCTGTTCCTCTTCCCAATGGAGATAAGAGGAGATAAACAAGAATAAGGACTAGAAAGAAAGTAGAAGAAAACCCAGAAGGGTGTGTATATATATGCTTGTACATGTATGTGTAGTGTGACCTAAGTGTAAGTAGAAGTAGCAAGACGTACCTGAAATCTGGCGTGTTCATGAGACAGAAAAAAGTACACCAGCAATCCTACCATCATGTAAAACAATTACAGGCTTTCGTTTTACACTCACTTGGCAGAACGGTAGTACCTCCCTGGGCGGTTGCTGTCTACCAACCTACTAGCTAGTATATATATATATAAATATATATATATATATATTATATATATATATATATATATATATATATAATATATATATATATATATATATATATATAATATATATAATATATATATATATGCATGACAAGCCGGGGGGGGGGGGTGGAAATCCTTAGCTCAATTACTTACACACTTACAGCGCATCATCAGGAGCTGTGCAATGTTTCAAAGGCAACAACAGAAGAAGTAGGGTAAGTTGTTGTCTTTGCAACATTGGTTGCCTTTCCAACATTGTACAGCTCCTGATGACGCACTGAGAAGTGTGAAAGTACTTAAGCTAAAGATTTCCACCCCCCGCGGCTTGTCTTGCATTGTTAAGATCGGGGACTGGAAATCTTTTGCTCAAGTACTTTAACACTTCTCAGAACGTCATCAGGAAGTATGCAAAGTTGCAAGGCAACAACTAAAGGGGTGAGGGGAAGTTTTTCCTCAGAGTAGTGCAGTGCAGGTTTGACACCTGCCGTACCTTCTCTCTGAATGTAAGATAATGGTCTGAGTGCCACCCACACCACCACCATTCTCATCCTTCCCTTATATGGGGTAGGAGAGAGCCTCTGAGTTTTGAGAAGTCAAGGAATATGAAATCAGAAGATATAACAGCCAGCCCCAAGCTTTTTCTAGCCGCTTAGAACACGTCATGTGACTTGAGAAAATGCACTTCACAGTGGCTATATATTTGGATTGCTATTATTCTGTGTAACCTTTTTAATTAATAAAAGAAAAGAAATGAACATGCTGTTTTGTCCGTTTAAATACCTTGGTCTAAGGTACTTGAATAATACCAGGGGTACTCAGAAGTATATCTCCATATATTCCTAAACATTGTCTACCAGTCTTCTCAGTATCGATTAAAATTCCTTATTGGGTCTTCTATACCATTCTGATATGTCTATGATCCAAATTTCTTTTTCGAATATCCTTTAACTCCACTACCTATACTATCATGCAATCTTGCGTAGCTGTCAATGTATGGTACAGTAAGAGCTAAACGCTTTAAATAACCATTCACGACAGACATAGCATGATATTTTGGTGCATGGACACTGGTCGAGCTCCACCAATCCATCATGAAACCACCTGGCATAATGAGGAATCTGTGATTTTGTATAGCATTGTTGTTAAAGATTGTGTACAATAGACTCTACTAAATAGCTATCGAGCTTATGTAACCCATAATTTGAGTTATATACGATATTCTTGTCATGTTTCAAGAAAGAAGATTCAATTATGTTTCTATGACAGAAATGCTGGGTACAATAACCTGGGCAGCAACCCACCCCGGTGGGTAATTACAGTAACTGAAGTGGTTAAAGATAGAGTTTGACACCTGCCCTGTCCTGACTGAGTAATTATGTTGGGCTATTCTGGTTTCCAGAAGTTTGCCTGTTTCACCAATATATGACAGAGGACACTGAGTACATGGGACCTTGTAAACACCACCAAGTTTTTTGGAGTACGTGTTTTTAATCAAAACTTGTTTGACTAGACATTTTTTCTGGTAATCACTACCTTAGGTTCAGTCCTGTAGAAAGTCTTTCTTGCTGACATTAGTTCCTTTGCGACTAAACCCCTATGATATCTTACTTTTGTGGCTATGTTGAATATCTTGCTGATTTTATCCCTTAAATACTCTGGACTGCAGATGTGCAAGGCTCTAACGAACATTGTGAAGAACGTACTTCTTTTTAGCTTAGATTCGTGACTGGATTAGTAATGAATTTATGACGACACATTGGTGGACTTCCTATAAATTGCAAATTTTAATTTTTTGTCAACACGATGGATTAAAACATCTAGCAACGGCAAAGTGTTGTTTATATCGTGTTCTGTTGTGGACCTAATGAAAGGTACTAGGGAAGAACTCATCTATGTTCTAATCCTTAGGCAAAATACATCATGTCCCTACCCTACCCCACGAACACAATAATTGTATTGATAAAACTTTGTGTTATTGATTGCAAGTTCGTGTTTGAAGGGAAATACAATGCTCAAAAACAAAGCGTGGAAATAGAAAATTCCCTTATCCCCTCTCCTGCCTCATATGAGTTGGTGTCCCGTAGCTTGATCGCTAGGGCACTCGGCTCACACTCTGAGGTCCGGGGTACTAATCTCCTTCGGTACGGCTGGAAAACATTAGGGACGTGTTTCCATAAGATACCTGCTGTCCCTGTTCACCTATTAATTTAAGATGGGTACCTGGGTGCTAGTCGACTGGTGTGGGTCGCATCCTGAGACGAAACTGACCTAATTGCCTGAGATGCTCAGCATAACAAGCGGTTTTCTATATAGTAGTATGTCATTGATGTCAGCTAGACCTGTATATGCATTGTACATGTAATTTTAGTAAATAAAGATATTATATTATATTATCATTATTATAAGGATGGTGGAGTGCGGGTGGCATGCATATCGTTGGCTGATATCCAGAGAGAAGCTGCGGTGCTACTCTGAGGGAAAAAACTTCCTCTCGCTCCTTCAGTTGTTGTCTTGCAACTTTGTATATCTTCTAATGGCGCACTGAGAAGTCTGAAAGCAATTGAACTAAAGATTTCCACCAGCAGTGGATTTTCATGCATATATATATATATATAATTTTTATATATATATATATATATAATATATATATATATATATATATATAATATATATATATATATATTATATATATAAGATGGGGATAAAAAGGCTTCAAGGAAGAATATTTGGATTTCTTCCTGAAGCCATTTGAATATTCCACTTCCCCTACCACCCCATCTTTTAAACTATTTTTTTTTTTTACCAATAGGAATATTTTATTACATAATATGGCACAGAAGATATTTTTTTTTTGTTGTTGTGTACGGTCTATTCCAGAGCGGTGTATCAAAGATGCCGCCTTTTCACACGTAGGTGTGAAATTTTGCACCTATGTGATAATGACCCTCTTGGTCCCGTGCCGCGCGCCCGCGCGCCCACCTGCTCCCGCGCCCACCCGCGCCCGCGCCCACCCGCGCCCACCCGTGCCGCCCCTGCAGCGCCTTCTGCAGCGTCCGCAGGATCGCCCCTGCTCCCCGAATTTTTTCCGATTTTTTCGATTTTTTTTTGAATTTCATTTTTTGAGCTTCACATTTTCCCCTCGGATCAACACCCTTCCCCCACCTCCCACCATCCACTTCTACCCTCTATGTCCAAATATTCCTACTCTACTTCCTTGGATCAAGACCTTCCTCTCCATCTCCTCCCCCCAAAAAATTCCCAAATTTTTTGTATTCACCAACTCCTCGGATCAAGATTTACTCTCCAATCTCACCCCCCCCACACCTCCCACCACCCACTCCATCTCCCCATACCATCTAATCCCAATATTCCTGCTCCATCTCCTTGGATCAACTTTTTCTCGATGTTAATGATACAAAGATTTGAGCTATCCCCATCCCCTTTGGATCAACACCTCCATCTCCCCCACACCTCCCACCACCCACTTCATTCCCATACCTTCTAAACCCAATATCCCTGCTCTACTTCCTTGAATCAAGGTCTCTCTCTCCATCTCCCCACCAAAAATTTAATTTTCTTGTAATCTCCAACTCCTCGGATCAACACCTCTCTCTCCCCCCACACCCCCCAAACCCTTCCACCCCCATCCCAAAATCCTGATTCACCCCCTTTGGTTTACTTTTCTCGATATCAATAATACAAAGTTTTTCCCTGCACTTCCTTGGATCAAATTTTTGGGTCCTCTCATCAGGTCTAAACAGTAACTTCTCGCATGCATGACATCCCCCACCTGTGTTTACTC